CCAAGACAAAAAATAAAAATAAAAATAAAAATCCCCTGCACTGCCTCTCCAACCCCTGTACATACAGGTACCTTCCATTCCCCAAAGGTAGTCACTTTCAAATTCTGTAGCTGATTTATTTGCTATATTCTTCTATATCTCTAAATAACTTACCTGTATTGCTACTTCATAATACTTCAATTTTAGGCATCGATTATTGATATTCAATTAGCAGATGAGAATTTAGCTTCTCATCTATTCATACTTCTTATCTCCAATCCTTCTAATATAGATTGTAATTTTGGTTAGATTGAGTTATTGTGTTTATGTTAGTGGGACTAAGGAAATACTATAAGTAGCTTAAATTATGTTGGATTAATTTTGTTTTCCTCACAAGGTTTTGCTTTCTTTGTAGTTGAAGATTCTTGTCTTGTTTGTTTTCTTAAGTGTCTGTACATTTGTAATTAATTCAATCCCAAATTTTGCCCCAACTGCAAAGCTCTCCTCTTAAGTATGGTTCAAATGCATCAATAATTTTATCAAGTTCATTTTCTTGAAGAAATATTTCCCAAAGGCTTCTTCTGATCTAGAATGGTTATTCCCTATGTCTGTTGCACAGCTGTGACTTTGGGATGTTCCTTCATCATTATCCTGATGATAATGTTTTTAAAGTTTACTCCCTTGTTTTGGTAAGCACATTTCCAGGAGCTTTCTGAGAAAGTATGTATCCAAGGCAAATTTGTCAAGGACACGCATCTTTGAAATTATCTTTATTCTATGCTCACTCCTGGTTAATGATTTGGGTGAGTATCGAATCCTTGGTTGGATCATTTTCCTTCAAAACTTAAAAGGCAGTGTTCCACTGTTTTCTAGGTTTCAATGTGCATCTTAAGAAGTCTGATGACCTTTTGATTTTTGATCATTTGTGTATGATCTGATGATGATCTTAAGGATACGTCTTTTATATTCATATTGTGCTGGATGCTCCTATTAATGAGTTCTGAAAATTTTTATTCAATTATTGCCTCCTGCAGTTTTCTCTTCCTTGTAGAATTTGTATTATTTGGATGTTAGATTTCTTGGGCTGGTCCTCTAATTTTCTCATGTTTTTATTCTGTATTTTCTATTTCTTTGTCTTTTGGTCTATTTTCCTGATGATATTCTAAAATTCATCTTTCTATTCTATTGAAGTTTTTTTTTTATTTCTGCTATCATATTTTACTTGTCAAGAATTCTTCTTGTTCTCTAAATGTTCCCTTTTTTATAGCATTCTGTTCTTGTTTCATGAAAGCAATGCTAATAATACTGATAGATACATTATCAACAATAACTCCTCTTTTCTCTCTGAGCATATTTTATAAGTTTGCTTCTTCCTCCAGCATCTGTACTCCTTGTAAGCTGGTCTTTTAAAATTTATTTTGGTTTCCATCCTTCATTTAAATACTTTCCCCAAATGTTTGGTAAATCTTATCTGGCTACTCATATTTAGATTAGAGCACTAAAAATTGGATTGGAAGCTCTGTTTTCATGGTAAGATTTGTCAACCATAATCTTTACCACAGAGTGATCTGGGTGGCTGTTTCTTTGGGTCTTTTCTCTTGGGCTGGTGAATTCTCCACAGGATGCTTCAATCTCCTATCCAGAAGGTTTATGCATAATTGGAAATTTAGTGGAGTAAAAAGACTGGAACTCTCAATATTTAAAACTCATTCAACAAATAAGTGAGTATCTATATTTTCCAGACTCTATTATAACCTCTGAAGTAAAAGCGGTAAATAAAATTGAAAAATCCTTATATTATTATGAACAAAAATATGTAAATGTTTACTTAATCCCTCTGTCTTCAGTATCATACCTCATTTCATCATCAAAATTCTCAATTTTCATCTATGCCTGTTGTTTCTCAGTCTAAAGACCGTTTTATACTCTTCTGGGCCACTTTTTTTTTAAATTTTTTTATTCTTATGTTAATCCCCATACATTACATCATTAGTTTCAGATGTAGTGTTCCATGATTCATTGTTTGTGTATAACACCCAGTGCTCCATGCAGAATGTGCCCTCCTCAATACCCACTACCAGGCTAACCCATCCTCCCACCCCCCTCCCCTCTAGAAGCCTCAGTTTGTTTTTCAGACTCCATCGTCTCTCGTGGTTTGTCTACCCCTCCGATTTCCCCCGCTTCATTCTTCCCCTCCTGCTACCTTCTTCTTCTTCTTTTTTTTTTTTTCTTAACATATATTGCATTATTTGTTTCAGAGGTACAGATCTGAGATTCAGTAGTCTTACACAATTCACAGCGCTCACCATAGCACATACCCTCCCCAATGTCTCTCACCCAGCCACCCCATCCCTCCCACCCCCCCCCCCCACTCCAACAACACTCAGTTTGTTTCCTGCGATTAAGAATTCCTCATATCAGTGAGATCATATGATACATGTCTTTCTCTGTTTGACTTATTTCGCTCAACATAATACTCTCCAGTTCCATCCACGTCGTTGCAAACGGCAAGATCTCATTCCTTTTGATGGCTGCATAATATTCCATTGTATATATATACCACATCTTCTTTATCCATTCATCTGTTGATGGACATCTTGGCTCTTTCCACAGTTTGGCTATTGTGGACATTGCTGCTATAAACATCGGGGTGCACGTACCCTTTCAGATCCCTACTTTTGTATCTTTGGGGTAAATACCCAGTAGTGCAATTGCTGGATCATATGGTAGCTCTATTTTCAACTTTTTGAGGAACCTCCATACTGTTTTCCAGAGTGGCTGCACCAGCTTGCATTCCCAGAGGGTTCCCCTTTCTCCGCATCCCCGCCAACATCTGTCATTTCCTGACTTGTTAATTTTAGCCATTCTGACTGGTGTGAGGTGGGATCTCATTGAGGTTTTGATTTGGATTTCCCTGATGCCGAGCGATATTGAGCACTTTTTCATGTGTCTGTTGGCCATTTGGATGTCTTCTTTGGAAAAATATCTGTTCATATCTTCTGCCCATTTCTTGATTGAATTCTTTGTTCTTTGGGTGTTGAGTTTGATGAGTTCTTTATAGATTTTGGGTACTAGCCCTTTATCTGATATGTCATTTGCAAATATCTTCTCCCATTCTGTTGGTTGTCTTTTGGTTTTGTTGACTGTTTCCTTTGCTTTGCAAAAGCTTTTTATCTTGATGAAGTCCCAATAGTTCATTTTTGCCCTTGCTTCCCTTGCCTTTGGCGATGTTTCTAGGAAGAAGTTGCTTCGGCTGAGGTCAAAGAGGTTGCTGCCTGTGTTCTCCTTTAGGATGCTGATGGACTCCTGTCTCACATTGAGGTCTTTCAACTATTTGGAGTCTATTTTTGTGTGTGGTGTAAGGAAATGGTCCAGTTTCATTCTTCTGCATGTGGCTATCCAATTTTCCCAGCACCATTTGTTGAAGAGACTGTCTTTGTTCCATTGGACATTCTTTCCTGCTTTGTCAAAGATGAGCTGACCATAGAGTTGAGGGTCCATTTCTGGGCTCTCTATTCCGTTCCATTGATCTATGTGTCCGTTTTTGTGCCACTACCATGCTGTCTTGATGATGACAGTTTTGTAATAGAGCTGGAAGTCCGGAATTGTGATGCCGCCGGCTTTGCTTTTCTTTTTCAACATTCCTCTGGCTATGCGGGGTCTTTTCTGGTTCCATACAAATTTTAGGATTATTTGTTCCATTTCTTTGAAAAAAGTGGATGGTATTTAGATGGGGATTGCATTGAATGTGTAGATTGCTCTAGGTAGCATTGATATCTTCACAATATTTGTTCTTCCAATCCATGAGCATGGAATGTTTTTCCATTTCTTTGTGTCTTCCTCAATTTCTTTCATGAGTATTTTATAATTTTCTGAGTACAGATCCTTTGTCTCTTTGGTTAGATTTATTCCTAGGTATCTTACGGTTTTGGGTGCAATTGTAAATCGGATTGACTCCTTAATTTCTTTTTCTTCTGTCTTGTTGTTGGTGTATAGGAATGTCATTGATTTCTGTGCATTGATTTTATATCCTGCCACTTTACTGAATTCCTGTATGAGTTCTAGTAGTTTTGGGGTGGAGTCTTTGGGGTTTTCCACATAAAGTATCATATCATCTGCAAAGAGTGAGAGTTTGACTTCTTCTTTGCCGATTTGATTGCCTTTAAATTTCTTTTTGTTGTCTGATTGCTGTGGCTAGGACTTCCAATACTATGTTGAATAGCAGTGGTGATAGTGGACATCCCTGCCGCGTTCCTGACTTTAGGGGGAAAGCTCTCAGTTTTTCCCCATTGAGAATGATATTCGCTGTAGGTTTTTCATAGATGGCTTTTATGATATTGAGGTATGTACCCTCTATGCCTATACTCTGAAGTTTTGATCAAGAAAGGATGCTGTACTTTGTCAAAAGCTTTTTCTGCATCTATTGAGAGGATCATATGATTCTTGTTCTTTCTTTTGTTAATGTATTGTATCACATTGGTTGATTTGCGGATGTTGAACCAACCTTGCAGCCCAGGGATAAATCCCACTTCTGGGCCACTTTCTTACACCATCCACAAAAATAAGCTCAAAATGGATTAAAGACTTAAATGTAAAACCTGAAACTCCTAGAAGAAAACACAGTCAGTAAGTTCTTTGATATCAATCTTAGCGACATTTTTCGGTTTTGTTTTTGGATCTGTCTCCTCATGCAAGAACAACAAAAGCAAAAATAAACAAATGAGACTATATTAAACTAAAAAGTTTTTACATAGTGAAAAGAAAATGAAAAAGCCAACCTACTGAATGAGAGAAGATATCTGCAAATGATATATATATGATAAGGGGTTAACATATAAAATATACAAAAGAATAAAAAAAATTAAAAAAAATAAAAATTTAAAAATTTAAAAATTTAAAAAAATTTAAAAAAATAAAAAATAAAAAAATATATACAAAAGAACTCATAAAACTCAATATTAAAAAAAACCAGTCTGATTAAAAAATAGGGAGGACCTAAACAGACATTTTTCCAAAGAAGACATACAGATGGCCAACAGACACATGGAAAGATGCTTCATATCGCTCATCCTCAGGGAAATACAGATCAAAACCACAATGAGATAACACTTCACAACACTCAGAATGGCTAGAATGAAAAAGACAAGAAATAAGGAGTGTGGGCGAGGATGTAGAGAAAAGGGAAGCCTCATGCACTATTGGTAGAAATATAAATTGATGCAGCTACTGTGGAAAACAGAATGAATGTTCCTCAAAAAATTAAAAACAGAACTATGATACGATCCAGCAATTCTACTTCCAGTTATTTATCTGAAGAAAACAAACACACTAATTTGAAAAGACATATGTACCCTATGTTCATTGCAGTGTAACTGATTGATTGATTGATTTGATTTGATTTATTTGAGAGAGAGAGTGCATGAACGGCAGGGAGGGGCAGAGGGAGAGGGAGAAGCAGACTTCCCTCAGAGCAGGGAACCGGATGCGGGCCTCGATCCCAAAACCCTGGGATCATGACCTGAGTCAAAGGCAGATGCTTAACAGACTGAGCCACCCAGGCACCCTGCAGTGTTATTTAGAATAGCCAAGACATGGAAACAATCTAAATGTTCATTGATAGATATATGAATAAAGAAGATGTGTGTGAGAGAGATATATATAGCAGAACATCACTTGGCCATAAAAAAGAATAAAATCTTGCCATCTGCAATAACATGGATAGACCTGGAGGGCGTTATGCTAAGTGAAATAAGACAGAGAAAGATAAATACCATATGATTACACTTATTTGTGGAATCTAAAAAACCAAAACAAACAAACAAAGCAAAACAGAAACAGACTCACAGATACAGAGAACAAACTGGTAGTTGCCAAAGGAGGGGAGGATAGGTAAAACAGGTAAAGAGATTAAGAGGTACAATCTTCCAGTTATAAAATAAATAAGACAAGAGGATTTAAGGTACAGCACAGGGAATATAGTCAATAATATTGTAACAATTCTGTGTGGCGACAGAGCTAGGGAGACTTCTTGTGGTGACCATTTTGTAATGTATATAAATATCAAATTACTATGTTGAACATCTGGCACTAATAATATTGTATGTCAATTATCCTTCAACAAAAAAGTAGAGAAAAATTTTAAAAGCCCTTCTATGGTTTCAGAAGGTAGAGGTGTTAAATGTGCTAATTGCTCTGTCTCAGCCAGAGGTTCAAATGTTTTTTAATATTCTAACTTGTCATTTATCTATCTTCTTTTGTGAATTGTCTGAACATATCTCTGATGATTTAACATTGAAGCTTTAATGTTTTCCTTGCTTATTTGCATGAGCTCTTTCTTTGTTAGTGTATTAACCACTGACCTGAAATATGTTTAGGGTGACTGATCTCAAAGCCCACTGAGTAGTTCTAGTGGTTTAGAATGTATAGAGGTTATGAATTACTTAGATGGAAAAGATGTAATAAAACTTACTCTGAATATTTCACCAAATTACATGTATTTAAAAATCACATAAACAACAATCCTCAATCACTAGACTTTAAACTTGTAAAAGACAGATCTTGATCTTTAACTATATTAATTCAATAAACTTCCATTGAACAGTTGATATGGGTGAAGCACCATCTCCCTGAGAGTACAAATACTAAGGGTCTGAGTCCTTTTCTTTACAGGATTTTCAGGAGAAAACAGATCAATAAATAATTATAAAACAATGAGGGTGATCTATATCAGAAGCACAAATCTGAGGACAACTCATTTGACCTGTTAGAGAGAACTGGGTAAGTTTTGGAGCTGAACAGTTGATATTTGAGTGGGACCTTGAAAGGTGAGTGCAGGTTTTGCTAGGTTGCAAAGGTGACAAAGGGCATCCCAGGATGAAAAAAGAGAATGTGCAAAATGTTGCAGATAAAAAAAAAAAAAAAAAGTGTATTTAGGGAATGGTGAAAAGTCTTGAAGGGTTACTGAAGGTATAGAAAATAAGTTGAAACTGGACAGAATTTTAAAAAGAGAGTCTACCCTAACCTCCTTAATTTTATAGATTGGAAATGAGTGCTAGAGAAGTTACAAGTTGTCAAAGATTGCATACTTAATGATGGAACTGGTATTGAGATACTGAGACATAATATTCTGACTTCTTTTAGAGCATTTCTTATTATATCACATAGTTACTTGCTTCTCACAATAGATGCATTTTCCTAAAAGCAAGTATAAAAAGAACTGATCAGAAGATTTGGGAGACAAATTAGAATTCAATTCTAATCTGTTGCTAGTGGCTCCTTTGATGTCCTTTTCAAGAAGGATTCTAAGATCTAAAGAAAAAAGCACAATTTCTTAATTAGGTCTATCCACCACAAGCATAGGATGGGAAAAGTGCCATGTAATTATTTTCCATGGACAGGAGCCACCTAATGGGGAATGAGGAGTGGAGAATAAGAAAAAGAATACACCATATGTAATTTATGACTAATCTCATTTTGGCTTATTTTACATTATAAATTTATTCTTTTGAAAAAGTCATTAAATTTTGGGTTAGATCATCTGAAACCTCTCCCTTTTCAAATTTGATTTCTTTTCTTGTTCTAGTTTGCTATTTTGGATAGTGAATATGCTTACTATTCAGTATTTAAGATTACACAAAAGTATTATTTAGTCACCGTAATTCCTTTGGAATAGAAAGCTTGTTGTTTTTGTAATCTTTCAAATTATTGGTATGTATATTTGAAGCAAAAAACATGTAGTTTCTCACTCAAGTAAATAGGTATTTATTAAGATACTGCATTTCTTTGAAATGAAAAAAACTGTGTTCAAACATGTGCTTATTTGGAATCAGGTACATAAGAAGAAAAAGACTTTCTATAATACAGAATTATTTCAAAATCTATTATTACTACTTACAAATGTAGAGCATACAAAAGATTCTCATCATTTTTCTAAGATTAACATTAGGTAAGCATAAGTTACCTTTCAGCATGCTATGTTAATTTTTTTCCAAATTTTTCTAAAACCTATTTATTTTATCTGTATTTTCAGTTATAAATATCTACTGATGTTTTTTAAAGACCCACACTATTTTTTCCTATTTGGTTTCACCTAAAATGACATTCTCTTATATGAGGTAATTTCTTTATTCATTTTTCTACTTTCTGATGCTTGCCAGTCCTCAATGCCATGGCAGATCCTTCTAGAAAGCACTTTTTAAGAATTGTGCTTTATTTTGGAGCTCTTCGGTAACCTGTTGAGAATTCTTGGAATAAACCAGAAGGAAGGCTAAAGAGACAAAAGAACACTACAGCTTTCTTAAAGTTAATGAAACAGATTCCTCTGGCTCACTTTAACAATCAGTGCAAACTAAAATGGCCATTTTCACATTAGTAACATATTTTATAGAGTGGATACTTTATGCTGATGTTTATAAATGAGAAAACAACACATTACTCCAGCTATAAATGGAGCCTTTGGCAAATAAAAGAAAAACTTATTCCCATTAGTAAAACAGTGGAGTTTAAATCTAGAGAACAAGTATTTTTAAAATCTAATAGAAAAAGTCCCTGATTTGTACTCTATGTAAGCAATTAGACTTGAGAATATTGCTATCCAATCACAGAAAATACCAACTAGACTGTCTTCACTGACAATAAGAGAAACAGAAAAAAAGCAAGCTAACTCTACAACAGTGAAAATATGGAACCTTAGGAGTATCTGGTGACCATAAATATACACATTTATGAGCCTAACAATTGATATATAGTTCATGCAATTAGCAAGTTTGATAAATACGATCATTACTCTTAAGTTGAAACAAATACTGTTTGCTAAGAGAAAGGATTATTATTGAGCAGATGGTATTACTTTTCCTTGCCAATTTATATTCATAAAACTCAATAAATGCTTAGCCTTAGAAATGTCAAAAAACTCAGATTTCAGCATAATACACACCAAATAACCTGCTCTGCTTATCTCCACCCTGTCACTCTCCTCTTCAAGAGCTCAAACAAGACAGTCTGATTGACACAAATAAAAGGAAAAACCTTATTTTCTTTACTGCTATATGGTCTTATCTATAATGTACCATTTCAATGTCTTATAAAAGATACCATAATTCAAAGCAGTAATATACCCCAAAGTACTGAAGTACAAATCTACAACATATATACATATATGTATACATATATACATAAATATCTACAACATATATGCATATATATGTATATATGGTATGTTGAACACTTTTTATTCTTGTGGGAATTGCCACCAATAAGAAAACGTTTGACTGCCAATTAAATAAGAGTTGATTTCCAGTCTGGTGTTAAGAGGAAGAATTTTAAATATATAAAAAAATTGGGTTTGAATCCTAACTACCATTTATAAGCTGTGCTGACAACTGGTCAAGGGACTTAACCTCTCTGGTCTCACAGCTTTCTTATTCATAAAGTTGTGAATGTAGGGCTCTTCTGAATGTTAAAAAGGCATTTATGTCTAAAGGTCTTAGCATAATGCGTGCATAGGATAAATATTTAACAAAATGGTTACTAATATTGGTTTAGTTATTAGAGAACTAAAGTTTTACAAAAACTAAAGACTTGTCTCTAAGGTGCATTCAATGCAAGCATGATTTTTTAAAATTCTTTTTTATCACTTTGATTTTCTAGGGAGAAAACCTCCCCCCCCATTTTTTTCAAGTTTGCTGTGGTAAAATAGATCTGTAGGCAGTTGAAGCAGTTACATCGTATCATACATGCATAAGACTGACAGCTGATCTTCAAGATTTGGCAAGAGTCCTCAACATTTTTTCTCAAACACACCTGAAGGCTATCATGCAGAAGTGATCAGTCAGCTGCTATGGGAGGCTGCTGCAGGTATAGGACAGGACAGGACTCTTAGGACTAGGACTAGCCAAGACTCTGTCCTCCCCACCCACCAGACACCTGCGCCGTCCCTTCCTCACCCCAAGACAGCAACCTTCTGGCTGTAGATCAGAGGAGTAGCTCTTTCTTGAACAAGAACAACAAAGGCAAAAATCATCTCAGCAACGTGGGGTTTTACCCAAACTTCTGAGGAGCCCCTGAATTCTCCCAAATATCCATTCTTCAGTGGAATTGTTATTACTTGGGTGAGCATCTGAATCTTTTGTGGAGTCTGATGAGACACAGAGGATGAATATTCTGTCTTCCAGAAACATCTGATTCTATCTCCTTTAGCCTCCTCTTATGTCCATCTCCCCACTTATTGCCTTTCTTTCTATCTTTATAATTAGTTCACTGATTGAAAAATCAATAGAGCACATAAACAAGCATGTACAACAATGTTCATTGCAGAGTTGTTTGTAATTTTAAAAACTGTCCATCTATAGGAAACAATTAAATGAGAAATTTGACATATATCCTATGCTGCAATTTAAAAACAATGGTATAAAAATAAAATAAAATAAAATAAAATAAAATACAAACACTGGTATAGACATATATGTACTGAAATGAAATAACATCCCAAATGTATTTTTTTATTATTATTTTCTAAAGACTTTAATTTTTTAAGTAACCTCTACACCCAGTGCGGGACTTGAACCTAAAAACCCGAGATCAAGAGTCGCATGCTCTATCGACTGAGTCAGCCAGACACCCCCCAAAATATATTAAATACAAAAGGCAGTCACATAATAACATGTGTAGTATGCACGTCCAATAAAAAATAATTCCCACAATTCCAATATATGAATATTCAGTTAAAAATTCTGGAAGGATATATATTGAATTGTTTCCATTGCTAAGTGGATGAGCAAACCTAAAGGAGAGCAATGCTAAAAAGGAGCACGAAGAGGGACTTTCTCATATTATGTAATTTTTTTCATAGTCTGTAATATTTTGAGAGTATTTTGTGACATGAAAATACTTATCTATTACTTATGTAATAAAACTATATACATTTAAAAAAAATCTCATGGTAGGAATCTTAGGAAATACAGGGAAAGTAGAAGAAATAATGAAGAAAAAGCACATGTAATTCTACAACTCCATGTTCATCACTACAAAAATTTTAATATTTTTTCCCAATACATTTCTATATATGTATGTACACACTAAATTTTTAAAGCATCATTGGGTCTCATTTCATTGGCCTGATACCCTAACAATTTTGAAATATAAAAAAAATTAATTCTTACTAAGAAATAGTATTAGGAATAACAGGGTAAATAGGCTGTGGTTTTCTAGTTGTACGGCTTAAAGACCAGCTGAAAACATGGAGCACAGAACAATGATGCTACAATCACACACACACACACACACACACACACACATGTTTTCCATGTTCCCAATCCCAGTCGGGTCAGGGAAGCTGAAGATTGCCTGGGGGCCTGCACTGTCTTAAACTACTGACCTAATTCTTAGTATTTCACTCTGGTCCATTTCCTGCATGACCTCAGAATGTGTCACTGTGAATTCTATAATACACAGCAGTTGCACATTGTAGAATGTGGATTCTGATAGGTGGCTCAAATAAATGCTAGGGACATGCCACTGGAGCTCTGTGGGCCTCAGGTTCCTCATCCTTACACTGATCTCTCTAGCCCCTTCCAATATAAACAGTCTGTAATTTACTAAACACCACAAAGAATTGTGCTGAACGGACCACCACAATATGCTACTCTCAGAGTTCTCAAATTAATCCCACAGCCAAACTTCCTGCAAAATGACTTCACTGCTGTATTGTGTGGCATTTGTCTCCATTCTCCAGAATGCTCACCAGATGGTGAAGGAGCGTCTCTCTCCATGTAGCAACATTTTCATAGTGTTTCTTGCCACTCACTACTGAAAAGTTGTAAAACAACAACAACAACAACAACAACAAACCTGTGGAAGTGAGTACTCCGCTGAAAAATGTGGCTTTCTCTTTAGGAAGTGTCTGCAGGGCAAAACACAGGCCCCAAACAGCTATCGTGTGATGATACAGATGATCCTTGGTTTTGATCTTCTTTGAAGTTTATTAAAAACAAACTTGAATCTGTACCAATCTTGACAGGCATGGGAGTCAGAAGCGCAAATAGGAAATGTGAAGATCTCCCAATATTCTATTTAATCTTATAATACAATCATGAAACTCATTATAATTCAAGATCTGTACTATTATTACTATGAAGGAATTAGTACATAAATATATAATCTTACCCCAAATATAATTAGATAAAATCTTAAAACTAAAACCATCGTGTGATACTATCAGTCATTGTGAAGGAGAATAACAAAAGTTTTCATCAACATCCCAAGAAGTTTATGTTAGATACTTTTTTAAAAAAGATTTTATTTATTTGAGAGAAAGAGAGAGCACGCGCGGGGGTGCACGAAAGGGGGGTGGAGGGCAGAGAGAGAGGGAGAAGCATGCCTATCCCAGGACCCTGAGACCGTGAGATCATGATTTGAGCTGAAGGCAGCCGCTTAACTGACTGAGCCACCCAGGAACCCCATATGTTAGATAGTTTTAATAAAATAGGGAGAGTAGATTAACTTCAAGTAAACATTCATACTCAAATTGTGGATTATTTTGTTTGGAAATTTGTTGTTCATAGAACAATGAGGAAAAAGCATAATGTCTTACTTAATATCTCCAAGGAGGAGTCATGCTTTTAATGATGCCAAGCCATCCGTGACAGGAAAATTTTTTTATTTGAAAAAGCTTAAAAAATCATAAAAATGGATGGTGTGGGAGCCAAGTATTATTTAAGCAATATTTTACAGAAACCACAAAATTGTTGACAAGAGTGACTACAGTATCAATTACTGGTGTTCACTGTTTCAGAAGAGAAAGTTGAATGCCATCCTATCTCTAAGGAGTAATAACTTCCTGCTACTCAAAAAGTGTATATAATAAGCAGCATTTTAATTGAAGTGTAATTGACATATAATATTCTCCTAGCTTCAGGTGTACATCACAGTTATTCATATACATTATAAAATGATCCCTACAACAAGTTTATTTACCATCTGTCACCATACAAAGTTTTACAATATTATTGGCCATATTTCCTATGTGGTACCTTACATCCGCATAACATTTATTTTATAACTGGAAGTTTGTCCTTCACCTATTTTGCCTCACCCCCTACCACAAACAGGTTTGTTTTTAGCAGTTACGTATAAAATCCACTCAATATCAATATGGATGTTAAACTCCTTTGCTATCAAATATTCTGCATCTTATGGGCAAGAAGAAATCAGATAAGGAAAGTGGATTTGCTTTCTGACCCTTCTCTTAAGTTGTTCCTCCTGAATGTATTTCCTCTCCCTTTGTCCCCATGATTACACAAATACCACCAGATGGCTGAATTACTAAACAGTTGTCTATATATTTTTCTCAAAATCATATTTATTCTATAATGGTCCCCTACAGGACAAAATTGAATCCACAATATTTTTCCTAGCATTCAACAATGTCCATCAGGCAGCCCATCACAGTTATTAAAGAACTGATAGTAAAATAGGACTACTAGTACAGTAAGAATAGAAGAACGTTCCTTATCATGCTAGTAAATAGCTTTCATGCAACATCTACAATTAACATTGAAGCAAGTCAGAAACAAAACAAGTCTGCTCACTTGTGTCCAGTATTTCATGCTGCTCAGGAAATTTTAGCCTAAGCAATCAAGTAAGAAAACCAAATATGAGGTTCAAGTGTTTGAAAGGAGGGGGCAAAATTATATTTTTGGATGACAATTCTATAACTACAGTTTAGGAGAATCAACTAAAATGTGTAAGAAAGGCAGGACAGTATGGTTTATAAGAAAGGTAGAATGCTATAAAATACATATACACAATAGGCTTTCCATATAACAGTAATAGTCACTTAGAAAATGGAGAAAGTATCCCATTTATAAGACACAAAACATAAAATACCTAGAAATAAACTTAGTAAAAAATGTAAAAGTCTTATATAAATAATACTGTAAAACTTCACTGAAGGACATTTTACAAAACTAAAAAATATGTAAAAACATCTAATTTCCTGGGTGGGAAGACTCAGTATCATAAGGACAGATTAATTTATAACTTCAATGTACTTTGTTTGGACCTAAAAGGTTAAACGTTTCTTAAATATGCAATTTGATTTATGATATCTACTTTCTTCTTGAAGATATTCTTCTTGGAACCCTGTGACGACTCTTTAATTTAGGTGCCCTGCTTTCTATACTGCTGTCATCCTGGAATTTATTTTCATAAGACACCTGAGCTAGGTCCAGTGCTCTTTGTATCCTGGGTTATCTTCTGTATAGGATCCTTGTTGTTTTGTTTTGCTGAAATACATCTTCAGAAAATGTTTTTTAATTAGGAAGGATGTGTAGGAGGTAAACATAAACTTGAGCCCTTATGTATATTTAACCATGTCTTCAGTTTGTCCTAACACTCCATAGATTGGCTATCAATTCTGGGTTCTAATTAATCCTTCTCAAAACTTTGAAACATTGCCTCATCTGTCCCAGCTTCCAGCTTTGCTGATGAGAAGTCTGATAACTTTGAAAGATCCTTTTTTGTTCTCTAGAAGCTTTTAGGATCAATTTCTTATCCTTGGAATTTGGAAATTTCATCATGTGTCTTGGTATGCATTGTTTTTTTCCCTCTTTTGGGCAATGGATAACCCTTTTCAATCTGAAGACTTTAATCACTCTTCAGGTCAAGATTTTTCCCCCCAGTTATTTTCCCCCTGCCCCTTGTCACTCTGCTACACTCTTGATTATTTCTTTTTTCCATTATATTTTATATTCTTGACTTTTTGCTCCACTTTCTGGAAGATTTGCTTGATTAATTCAGTATTCAAGCATGTTCAGTAGTTCATCCAATCTTCCTATTTTTTTTTTTTTAGCATCCTGCTCCTATTTCACAAAAACTTAATCATACTTAACAAACATAATCTCTTTAATCTCTCCAAAAATTTAATATTTTAAATTTTTTTTCTATACTTTTTCTTTTCTCTGTTTCTTCTGGAAACAGAAGACAAATTTTCTTCAGAAAAATGCATTTGTTTTGTTCATTCATTAGTTTCTTTTCATTCATGCTATTGGTTTTCTTCAAATGTTTGGTGACCCTTTCTTGACTGTGAATATTTATAGTTTAAGAACCAGGAGTTTCTTAGACGGTTGGCAGGGGTTTCATAAGTATTTGTGTAGTACTTATAAATGGATTAATTAGCAATCTAATGCAATTTCAATCACAAACCTAATGGGATTTCTTGGGAGGACTTCACAAATAGATTATGAAATTAATTTTTTATAATTTAAAAATTAATATTTATGAATTAGCAAAATCAAATGAGGGTAACTGAGAGAATTCTGAAAAATAAGATTTGTTAAGAGGGTGCATGTTCTCTCACATACTAAACTGTATTTTTTAATCCATAATAATTATAGCATGGCATTTTTGGTATAGGAATAGGCTCTAAAGGTTAAAAAACAGAGCCAAACATTATTAAATTTAGTAAAATATAGAAGTAAGGTCTCAAGCCAATGACAAAACTGGATTATTTAATAAATAGTGTCTTTTAAATTTAGGAATCCTAGGTAAAGAATATTAGTGTCCTAACTTACCATAAAATTTATTCCATAATTATTAATGATTTAAACATGTAATGCAAATCCACAAAGGACTAACATAAAATATAGGTATATATACATCGGTGTGGGAAAAGTCTTGCTGAGGACTTATAAAGTATATTTATATTTTAAAAATACTTGCATACAGGCTATATAAACTGTTTAAAACCGCTGCTTGTTAAAGGAAAATACCCATAAATGTAAAATTCTAAATGAAGGTTGGGATGGTAGAGGGGCAAATAACAAAATATTCAGAAATAGCTAAACACCATGTTGTGTATGTAAAATCATCCTGAGATTTCCAAGAAGTCTATACAGCAGAGTAAAAAAATAAACAATTTAGTGGTAAATTACTATTATTGCCCCCATTTTACGCATGAGAAAACTGAGACTTGGAAGGTGACAGAACTTGCTGAGGATCATGTAACTAAGAGTGTGGAGCTGGGATTTCAATCTAAGGAGTCTGGTATCAGAGCCTGGCTCTCAGCCCAATGCTGTATTGTCTATTCTAGCCAACTCTCTGGTATGAATTTTACATACCTCTCTGTGAGACTTTGCTTATAATACTTCCCGACCCAGAACCCATACCTCTTCTTTCCTGCCCTACCAGTTGCCCTTGTATTTCCACACCCAGTTCCATTAAAAACTTCTCCATGAAGTTTTTCAACAATTCCAGCCCTTCCTGGAATTCCCTCCTCTCTTGGATTTGAGAACACTCTCCGGTTCCTCTGCCTACGTCTCAGTCACTCTTTTTCAATCTCTTTGTTGGATTCTTCTTTCTCTACATGTTTCTTTTCTCACCCTACTCAATGCCGCTGTGAGTACATTTCTCCCCAAAACAGCACTATCTACCTAGTTATGTTCTGAAAATGCCAGCTTAGATTGCTCTTCTGCATTCCACAGATCTCCACCTGAATGTTCAGACACCTCAAACTCCATATTTGCAACACTAGTATTTATTTGTTTGCTATTTTTACTGTCTTACTGAGATGTCACCAACATTCACTCAGCTACTGAAGCCAGAAATCCGAGTATGATCCTTGACTCTTCCCTCTCGTATCTCCTGGATGTCACCACATTCTGTCCACTTTACTCTGTAAATAACTACTAAGTTTTTCCCCTCTCTTCTGCATTCCCTTAGTTCAAGCCCCCTTTATTTCTCATGTGATTATGGTAGTAGGCTCTGAGTTGGTTCCTGTTTTTCCTCTATTCATTCCAATTTAATCTCTGCATCAGCATTTCTCAAATTTGAGAGGTCGCAGATTTCCTAAGACACTTCCACAACTCTCATAGGCATACAGTTTCCATATGACAAACTTTGCAGCAAAAAGCTATGTACTTTTCATCAGGTGACTATGTATGGTTAATGCAATAATTAATGCACATTAGTAAATACAAAGGAAAAATTCAGGCACATGATCCTGAAAATGGTGGCATTTGATTTTTTAAAGAAGTATATTAAAAATGAAACTTCTACCTGAAAATTATAAAACATTAATGAAAGATATTGAAGACAACACAAATGGAAAGATATTCCATGATCACAGATTGGAAGAACAAATATTGTTAAAATGTCCATACTATATAAAGCAATCTACATATTTAATGCAATCTCTATCAAAATACCAATAGGATTTTTCAGAGAACTAGAACAAATAATCCTAAAATTTGTATGGAACCACAAATGACTCTGAATATACAAAGCAACCTTAAAAAGAAGAAGAAAAACACAGGTATTTTTGAAATTTTTGAAATCCCAGATTTCAAAATACACTACAAAGCTAAGGCCACTACACTACAAAGCTGTAGTCATCAAAACACTATGGTAATGGCACAAATACAGACACATACATAGATCAATAGAACAGAACAGAGTCCAGAAATAAACCCACAATTATATGGTCAATTAACCTTTGACAAAGGAGGCAAGAATATGCAACGGGAAAAAGACAATCTGTTCAACAAATGGTGTTGGGAAAACTAGACAGCTACATGCAAAAGAATAAAACTGGACCACTTTATTATATGATACACAAAAATAAACTCAAAATGAATTAAAGACATAAATGTGAGACCTGAAACCAAAAAAATCTGAGAAGAGAGTACAGGCAACAATTTCTCTGACACAGGTCATAGCAACATTTTTCTAGATATGTCTCCCGAGGTAAGGGAAACAAAAGCAAAAATAAACTATTGGGACTACATCAAAATAAAAAGCTTCTGCACAATGAAGGAAAGAATCAACAAAACCAAAAGACAACCTACTGAACGCGGAAGATATTTATTTGCAAGTGACATATCTGATAAAGGGTTAGCATCCAAAATATATAAAGAAATTGCACATCTCAACACACAAAAAAGCAAATAATGCAATTAAAAGTGGGCAGAAGACATAAACAAACCTCTCTCCAGAGAAGACAGATGGCCAAAACACACATGAAAAGATGCTCAACATCACTCATCATTGGGAAATGCAAATCAAAACCACAATGAAATATCACCTCACACTTGTCAGAATGGTTAAAATCAACAACACAAGAAAGAAGTGTTGGCAAGGGTGTGGAGACAAAGGAACCCTCTTACACTGTTGGTGGGAATGCAAACTGGTGCAGCCACTGTGGGAAGACAGGATGGAGGTCTCTCTAAAAGTTAAAAATAGAACTACCATATGACCCAGTAATTCTACTACTAGGTATTTACCCAGAGATTATGAACACACTAATTTGAAAAGATATATGCACCCCTATGTTTATCACAGCATGATTGACAATAGCCAAATTGTGAAAGTGTCTATCGATAGATGAATGGATAAAGAAGATGCATATATATACAATGAAATATTACCCAGCCATAAAAAAGGAAATCTTGCCATTTGTAACAACATGGATAGATCTAGAGAATATAATACTAAATGAAATAAGTCAGTCAGAAAAAGACAAATACCATATGATTTCACTCATACGTGGAATTTAAGAAACAAAACAAAGAAGGGACAAACCAAGAAACAGACTCCTAACTATAGAGTATCAACCGATGGTGACCAGAGGGCAGGTGGTTGCGGAGATGGATGAAACAGGTGTTGGGGATTAAGAGTTCTCTCATCATGCTGAGCACTGACTAATGTACAGAACTGTTGAATCACTATATTGTCTTGTATTGTATTGTACGTTAATGATACTGGAATTAAAATAAAAATACATTGAAAATGAAAACACAAAATTAAAAAGATATTACAAAGACTCCTTTAAGCATACAACTCTAAATCGTGTCATAACATTTCTCCTTTTGAATAAAGTCACCCCAATGCTTAAAGAAAAAAAATATACAAGCTCCTTGGCATGACTTTCAAGACTTAGGAAGTCATGATAGGTTGCTTCTCTTTAATCATCTTTTCACCTTTCCCCATCATCCATTGCGCCACATACTGCAACCTGTTTGGGGCTCGCTGGTGTCTTTTACATGCAGTATTTGCTTGGATTATTGACATCCAACCACAATACATCTGTCCTGGTCTAGCTCATTTCTCATCCTCAAAGCCTAGCTCAGTGATTTTCATCTCTGGGAGAAAATCTCTGATTTTCTTCTTTTCCCTTTTTCAGTCTTGGAATGGTATATGTGCACCTATGGCATGCCATGATGTAATTGACCATTTATCTTTCCATTTAGTGCTCTTGGCTGCTGGGTCCTTGAAATCTGGGACTGTCTTAATCCACTTTCCAGTCTCCAAGCCTACCACAATTATGAGGCACTGGATACATCTTTGTTAAATAGATCAGTGACCTTTCATCTATATTTATCTTTCTTTTTTTAATCGCAATTCATTCATTCATTCATTCATTCATTTATGCATTCACTAGTCCATTATCTGCTAGTTTTGGAGAATATAAAGACGAATAAGACATAGCCCTGGCTCCTACAGAGCACTTTATTATTGTACTGTATCATCTCAAATTTTTTTTTCTCTAATCATTTAGTTGTATTAGTCTTTTCTTCAGAAGAATAGTAGGGACTCATCATAATAATTTCTCTGCTCCTCATAGTTCTTGGACTACTGTAGAAGTTCAATATGTGTTTCTGGAATAGCCTTATTTTGCTTTTAGGGGATGCCTATTAATGCATAGTTCTACCAGAGGACCCTATTCTGTGGAAACCCCAAGTGCTGCACTTCAAAGCAGTTGAGGCAATTTATAGGTTTTTCTGGCATAAATGTGCTAAGTTGGCTGGCAGGTGGAATTATGAGTTCAGGAAAGAAAGAGAATGTTGTATGGGATTCCCGGTCATCAGCCAATCTCTGAGGGTGATACTGATTTCATCAAGATAAATGGACTAATTTCTTTTGAATTTTAGTCAACATTATATATTAGTTTTACAATATTTATTTCTATATTTACAGGTTAAGAAAACAAAGCAATTGACCTAGGCTGATAGGTACAAAAATTACTTTTAGTTCTGGTGACTCTCTCTCTTATTTTTTCTGGGTAAACATGTTATTGCTCTTTAATACTAGATAACAAGGGAAGATAACAGAGCTAACATTTATTGAGCATTTATATTGGAAAAGCTCAGCTTTAAGCAGTTTTACATGTATTAATACAGTGAAGCTTTACAACAACTCTTATTATATCTATTTCACTGCTAGGGAAACTGAAGCATAGACAGCCTCAGTAACTTGCCCAAGGTAACTTGGCTACTTAGTGTGGAGCTGGAATTCACACACGGGCAGTCTTCACTTTTTACAAGTGATTTATACTGCCTATAAAAGGAGCACTGGACTGGTTGTTACAAAACCAGGCTTCAAATCTTGAACTCACAATACAATAGCGGAGTGAATTTAAGGATGTCATTTCATTTTATCTTCTGAGTTTCATTGTCTTTGTACCCTTTACAGCCTGTGAGGAGGAGTAACTTTATATAGTCTTTTCTAAACTGAAAAGTGTTATAAATTCAAGAATTTTTTTTACATTAAAATTTTGTTTAAGAGCCTGAGAGTCTTCCAGAAAGTCTTTGTGAAGGCAGAGACAAGGTGAGACACAGGCACTGAATGTTCAGACTCCTTCTAACCGTGTTAAGCTGCACATTTTATTGCTAAACCTAAGGGAGAGATTAGAGGGAAGGAGAGTGGAAAGTAACAAGGTATGAAGCCTGGCTCTTTAGAGAGTAGTATAAACTATTTTCTTGATTAGTTTCAGAGCATTAACAATTACTTCTAAGATAAGCAGCGTTAAAGGGGTCTCAGGAAGGAGTAAAATTATTTTAAAAAATACAGTCAAATTGTTAAAAATTATCAGAACCATCTGTGAAAAGCACATGCAGTTTCATCATCTCTTTCAAAAAAATTATGCCCTAGCTGGTTAGTATTAGCAATCAGGGGATGAACACTCCTCATGTTTTATGCATAGAACAATTGATACCATGTCTAGTGCACTTGGTATTAACCAAGGAGTTAGAAAGGCTGAGTTTTGTGCCCATTTGGTTCCAGGTCAATAAAGAAGTGGCCACCTTCCTCTGGGTAGATGTGTCTCCTCCAGTAATAAGGAGCGTATTGATGCACTTGCCTTGTCTCCATCTCCAAGGGAAGTTCTGAAGATTGGTAAGACAGTGTCTATAAAATCTTTCAACTCTTTACAAGGTAAAACATACACAGACATACTGGCATGAGAAGCATGGTCATTAATTCTTTCATACATGAGAGCAACAAGAAGGAAAAAAAAAACAAACAAAGGCAGTCCCAAATTATAAAAACACCGGGTAGCGATGCAAAAAGTTTGAGGATAGAAAACAACAACATTGGGGTGCCTGGGTGGCTCAGTCATTAAGCGTCTGCCTTCAGCTCAGGTCATGATCCCAGGGTCCTAGGACTGGGCCCCGCATTGGGCTCCTGCTCGGCAGGAAGCCTGCTTCTCCCTCTCCCACTCCCCCTGCTTGTGTTCCCTCTCTCGCTCTGTCTCTCTCTGTCAAATTAATAAATAAAATGTTTAAAAAAAAAAAAAGAAAACAACAACATTGAATCCAAACTAATATTTGTACTCTATATTCTACAGATTCTCAGAAGGGTACTTCACTGACTGCTCCAGGGTATTATCACCCTTTCTCACTGACATGTTGTAGCAAATATTTTAACTTATGTGGCCTTTGGCTCCCTAAAAGGGACTCAAAAATTCCTTTGGGAAATACTTTTTATGAAGAAGTATAATCACAACAAAAAAGAAAATTCAAATATCTACTAAACTTATGAAGGAATGCTCACCCTCACTACTACTCAATGAAAATGCAATGATCCTATTATAGAATCTCCATATTTGGAAAAAGACTAGAAAGTTTGACAATATCATGTGTTTCTGACTGGGATGTGGAGTGACAGGAATCCTCAGACACTTTTCATACACTTCATCAAACACTTGCCTTTTATCTAGTAAAGTTAAAGATACACATTACCCAAGATTCCATTCTTTGGTATATTCCCCTACAGAATTGCATGCTATTTGCACCAACAAATGTTCATAATATCCTTACTCATAATATTCCCAATCTAGAAACTGCTCAACTTCATAAGAAGAGAAGATAGCACAAATAAGTTGTTGTTCCTTTATACAATAGAACACTATATAGTCATGAAAATGTATAATCCTCAGCTATATGCAACACTGATGTATTGTACAAGTATGATATTGTGTAAAAGAAGGAAATCATAAAAGTATCCATGAGATTGGTCCATTTACATAAAATAAAAAAACAAACTAAGCTGAACTCCATTGTTTTGAGATGCATACATAGGTGGTAAACCATATCACAAAGAAAAGCAGGAAGAGAAAGAAAGGTTAGGATAGTGGTTATCCCTTTGGAGAGGCAGAAATGGAAAAAAATAGAGTGCTTCTGAAGGATGATTAAAATAGGTATTTATTTTAGAACTATGTTAAACTGAACACTCACATTTTACATACTTTTCTAAGTGTTTGTTGTATTTCACAATTTAAAAATTTATGAAGACACCATAAACTATAGTACTCAAGGCAGTGTGGTATTGGAGAAAGAAGAGACAAATCAGTCAATGGAATAGAATAGAGAGCCCCCAAATAGACCCATATAAATGTAGTCAACTGATCTCTCCCAAAGAAGCAAAGGCAATAAAATGGAAAAAAGATATTTCGACAAATGGTGCTAGAACAACTGGACATCCACATGCAAAAAAAAAAAGAAGGGGGAGATCTAGACACAGACACTACACTCTTCACAAAAGTTAACTCAAAATGGATCACGGACCTAAATGTAAAACACAAAATGACAAAACTCCTAGATTATAACATAGTGAAAATCTAGATGACTTTGTTTGCTCATGACTTTTTAGATACAACACCAGATGCATATAATCCATGAGACAAATAGTTGATAAGCTAGACTTCATTAAAACTGAAAATCTCTGTTCTGTGAAAGATAATGGCCACAAAAATGAGAAGACAATCCATAGACTGGGAGAAAATATTTGCAATGATATATCTGATCAAGGACAACCGGTTACTCAAAATATACGAAAAAAATCTTAAAACCCAACAATAAGAAAATAAGCAACTAGATTAAAAATGAGCCAATTCCTTAAGAGACACCTGGCCAAATAAGATACATAGACTGCAAATAAGCACATGAAAAGATTCTTCACATATGTCCTCAGAAAAATGCCAATTAAAACAAGGAGATCCCACTCCACACCTAATATAATGGCCCAAATCTGCAACACTGAGAGTAACTCTCATTCATTGCTGGTGTAAATGGTTCAGGCACTTTGGAGGACAGCGTGGCAAGTTCCTACCAAACTAAACATACTCTTACCAAACGAGTCGGCAACTGGACTACTTGAAATTTACCCAAAAGAGGTGAAAATGTACATCCACACGAAAACCTCCAAGTGCATATTTAGAGCAGCCTTATTCATAATTGCCAAAACTTGGAAGCACTAAGCTGTCCTTCAGTAGGTGAATGGATAAATAAACTGTGGTACATCCAGACAATGGAATATTATTCATCGCTAAAAAGAAATGAGCTATCGAGCATGAAAAGACATAGAGGAACATAAAATGCACATTACTAAATGAAAGAAGCCAATCTGAAAGGGCTACATACTGTATGATTCCAACTCTATGACATTCTGGAGGAGGCAAAACTTTGGAGATGGTAAAGAGATCACCGGTTGCCGAGGGGGTGAGGGATAATAAATAAATATGTGGAGCACAGAGGATTTTTAGGGCAATGAAAATACTGTCTCACTCTCAAGAGGGAGACCCAGTATAAACTACAGATTTGGGGTGATAATGATAGGTCGACGTAGGTTCATCAATTGTAAAAAAAATGGGGAATGTTGATACTTGGGGAGGCTGTGCATGTGTCCAGGTCGGGAGTATATGAGAAATCTCTACTTTCTGCTCAATTCTGCTGTCAAACTAAAACTGCTCTAAAAAATAAAGTCTACTAAAACAACAACAACAACAACAACAACCCAAACCCAAAAAAACAAAAGCCTGAGCACTCGTGGCTTCCTGGAAGTTTACAAAAATTTCACAAAGCCTAAAGAGATCAAAAAACGATTAATTATTTGGAAACTTTTACCCTTCAATCAACTATATCAGTGCTGATGAAGATCACCTGGTGGATAATTCAGAGGTTTAATGTGAAAAGTCTCCCTAAATAACATACACTTATTGGGGAAGAACCCAAAGTTCAAACTGCAAACTGTTAGCAGGGGAAAGAACGGAAGACTTTTCTCTTCAAAACTGCCAAGCGAGTCTGGTTTAATTGAAGTTGATGGCAAAGACAACAGAGCACACTTAATTGAATTTTAATCTGAATGATCTCTACGCCATGTTTGAAACATAAACATACATGTGAGAGTTCTTCAAGATGTTGGCCATGAATCTGTTTTTGTAATTCAAAAGCATACTTTGCTTATGAATCTCTTTTTAACAAGCTTTGGCTGGGCTTCTTTTCTTCCAGATGTTTGGTATTGTATCGACACAACTTCCATCTCTCTGCATATAATTTAAAACAAAGTTATAAAGAATATATTTATTTTACAAACTGGTAAGATTCAAATGAATTGTCGATAGGTTTATATAACGATGAGTACTTACATCTCATAAAGTCCTACAGATAGCATCTCTTCATCTGAAGACCTCTTACTACTTTCAAACCCAAAAGCATTTTATATTTCTAAGACATTATTAAAGTGACCAATTAACAATTTTGGTAAAAAAAGAAGCCTCCCAAATCCAACATGGAAAATGATATTTTGTTATATACACTTTCATTTAAAACCCCTGTTGAAACAATTTATAGAAGGCAAGAGAGTTTGGTGATTCAGAGGATAATCTGAAGTCAGATCTGGATTTAAATCCCAGCTCTACCGTTTACTAACTTAGACAAGTCATACTGCCTCTCTCCTCAGAACCTATTTCCTGGTAGGTACTCCCCAGTCTTATAGGGATGAAAATAAATATCCCATGTAAAGCACTTTGTCAGCTCCAAGCACACAGTGAGCAACTCAATAAATGTTAGCTATCAGCAGCAGCAGCAGCATCTTCTAGAATCTTCCCGATCTTGCATCCAAATTGTTTTATCCCACTTATTTTTTTCTACTATAAAGTGTTCGTCCAGGCCACCTTCCTCCTCAGTTATGGTTCCCCTGGATTTCTAGCAAAAGGTGGTGAAATTATATATGCTTTTCTTCTCTTTCTGACACTTCAGTAAAATGAAAGTAAAGGAATAAACACACAAATCCACAAAGGCATAGGTCATGGGGGAGAAGAGATCAGCAAAGGAGAGATTTCAACTGATTTTCCACTCTTCAGAGAGTGGATAGAGGAGTAGAAACTGCCTTAGCACAGTGCAGGAAAACAGAGCAAATTTGAAGAGAAGTGAACTAATGTGCTCTGCTAAACCCAGAAAGCCTTAGTGCTTAGGGAGGCAGGAGTTTAGTGAGAGGCTGAAAGTATATTAAAATTATATGGAGACTTTGGATCCCAACTACTTCTCTCTCCTCCTGGACACTGAATCTTTCCTTTCTGAAGAAAATAAGCTAGAGGGACTTCAAACTGAGAACATTAGGGACTGTGGCAGACAAGGTGAGGCTCAAAACTGAAAAACAGACACTACTTACTGAGGAGTTCCCAGTAAGATGCCCAGCCTCCTTATATGCCATGCTCCCCAAACACTGGCGTTCAAGTAAATACCCCTAGGCAGATGTTTTCCAGACAGGATTTAGAGAATCTCTTCATAATGACACTGGAGAACTTCCCAAAGAATAAGCCAGCTGAACAACCAATCATATTACAGTGAAGCCCTACAGCTGATGAGCCCCATCCACATTCGCCCAACTTTGATGGTGTTGGTGTTGTCATGATTGTTGTTGTTTTATTATCTTTGTGCGTGTGTGTGTGTGTGACTTTTATTTATTTATTTTTGTAAAGATTTTATTTATTTAAGAGAGAGAAATAGCACGGGGGGGTGGGGTGAGGGCAGAGGGAGAAGCAGACCCCCCACTGAGCGCAGAGCCCTGATGCGGGGCTCAATTCCAGGACCCCCGAGATCATAACCCAAGCTGAAGTCAGGAGTCAGAGGTTTAACCTACCCAGCCACCCAAGTACCCCTTTGTGTGTCACTTTTATTTTTTATTTATTTATTTTTTTAAAGATTTTATTTATTTATTTAACAGAGAGAGAGATAGCGAGAGCAGGAACACAAGCAGAGGAGTGGGAGAGGGAGAAGCAGGCTTCCCGCGGAGCAGGGAGCCCGATGCGGGGCTTGATCCCAGGACCCCGGGATCATGACCTGAGCCACCCAGGCGCCCTGTGTGTCACTTTTAAATAAGAATGGACAGGGGCACCTGGGTGGCTCAATCCTTAGCATCTGCCTTTGGCTCAGGTCATGCTTCTCCCTCTCCCACTCCCCTTGCTTGTGTTCCCTCTCATGCTCTCTTTCTCTGTCAAATAAATAAATAAAATCTTTAAAAACAAAAAAAAAATAAGAATGGACAACCACGAGGAAATTCTCCAGAATGAAGAAAAGAGACTAAAATAAGCATACCACATCAACTGAATATAGATATCCACAAGAAACAGATAGTGAAAAACCTCTGAAGAGCTATCATTTGTGCCATTGGAAAGATAATGTATTCCTGATGTAAGAATAGATGCTATTAAAAAGGAATCATCAAAGAACAAGAGAGTATTGAAATCTCAAAAAAAAAAAAAAAAATAGGACCAAAATAAAATTTTAACCAAAAGGCTGGAAGATAAATTTGAAGAAATCTTCCAGAAGCCAGAACAAAACACCAAGGAGGTAAAAAATGGGAAGAAAAAAAATGAGGAAATTAAGGGATCTGATCTAGGAGATCTGACACTCAATGATGAGGAATCCCAGGAAGAGAGGATAGAGAAAATGGAGAAAGTAAAATTATTGATGAACTAATAAAAGCAGAAATTCCAGAATTAAAGGACCCATATGTCTAGAGTGAAAAGATCTAGTGTGTGTCCAGGACAATGGATGAAGACCCAGACCAGGATGACTGACCATGAAATACAGAAATATTGGTGATGAAGAGAAGCTCATAAAAATTTTTTGCCAAGAAAAATAGGTTTTGAACAGATATCAGGATGTCATCCATGGTAGAAAACGATGGAATGATCCCTGCAAAATATGAGAAAATACATTTGTAATCTAGAATTCAACTGTAGTTAATCCATGCTTGAGATGACTGAGGGTTTAAATGCAGAGCAGGGGGAATCTAAGTGACATACAGGGTTGGTTCCTGAAAAGGAGACCTCACAGTTGGGTTTTATCTTCAACTTTGAAACTCAATGTTAGAGACACAAGAAAGAAAAAGGAGCACCCTCAGCACTACCCGGATACTATGAACACCCTGAGAAAAACATTGCTTTTTTGCTAACACCTGTGACTATGAACACCCTGCGAAAAACATTGCTTTTTTGCTAACACCACCAAGACAGGGTATCAAGAGGTCGAGCAAATTTACAAAGCGTACCAGCCTTTGTGCTTCGGAAGAAGTGGACTTCCTTTTCATACAGCTGATACTTCTGAATAGATGGGTCAGTAGATAATATGCCGTAAGAAATAAAAGCCAAATACTAATTTGGAAGTCAGTTTTGCTTAGGCTTTGTATATTGCCACCAAATTTTGCGAGCTACTAAAAAAATAACTAAGAATGACTCTTTGCCTTTAATTAATGATTTAACCATCTTGCATGACAAAGCAGAACAATATTTTTTGTTTTTATGCTTATTAAATTACCATGGACAATTTTATTAACAATCCCATGAGGTGGTGTTTTTAGATGCTAATTTCTTACCTCAAAGGAATGGAGCAACAACAACAAAATAAACTAAGACAAAACCCAAAAATCCTTCTTAGTATTCTAGTATTCTCTTACAAAGGATCCAGCTTATCACAGTAATTGATTCCTTCTCCTACTTACACTGGCGATATTACTATATTAAATGGCTAAAGGATAAACGTAGCTAACAGTGGAGCTATAGTTCTTCCAGAAATAAGATAATTAAATAGCAATGTGTGCCAAGAAACCTTTCTTTGAACGTTTCTATTGCACCCTCTCATTATTTCTGGCTACCTGATTAGTAGAAGACTTGGATGACTGCTTTCTCCTGATACCACTTCCAGTCTGCTCTTGAGTTCTCCAGGCCTCACGCTGACTACCAGTAAAAAGAAAAAATGAAGACAGAATTTTCTTCACTACTTAAACAATACGCTGAACTGTTTATAATATTCCCAGTTTTTCTCCTTCTCATTCCCCAAGACAATTTTATAATTGCCTAAGACTGATACTAGATTAATAAATCTGAAATAATTATAAATAAACTCCTTAAAATAAGAAGAGTTTCCAGAAGCTGAAGATGAATGAGAATTCAAACAAAGCTGTTGAACAGGCTATTTCTGGGGTTCTCAACTCATTCCTGCTAAGGGTACATAGCTTCGTATTTCCCTCAAATGTCCTCTACTCATGTCACAAATATTACTTAACTGTGTACCACGCACCAAGCACTGTGGTGGTTACTGTGGAGGAAACCAAGGGAAAAAAATCAAGCGTTCTCCTTCAAGATGGAGATGGGACTTATGGCAGTGGCACCTGAGGAGGAACTGATGAATGAGAAGGATGGAGAAAGTGAGGACGAGGAGCTAAGTTGTGAATAAACGTGGGCCCTAGTGACAGTTAATCCAATAATTAGTGAAATGTGATTTGTGTTTAGCCCTGCTTTCCTGGGTAGTCCTCTTGAGCTGTGAAGAGACAGAACTGGCAACGAGTTCAAATGGGCAATAAGACTTCAGAATCCACTCGTTAGCTCTGATCCATCTGTCATGAGCTGATATCCACGAGAAGTTGCCATCTCATCAAGAAATAGGACTGCATCTCTAGTGAACAGCTGGTTGTTATGGATGACCAGCATTCAGTTCTCCTTTCTTTTGAAAACAATATCCTGATTTTCTTTGAAGAAACTCCTTAATGTTAGGTGGGACCACTGTGATTGGTTCAGGGTAGGGTCTACCATCTTTAATTATAGGGGAGCTACTAGAGAGAGATGCTCTTTTTTTCTGTTGAACATAAAACCTGGAAAGATAGAGCTCTAGGATTCTGACATGGGCGCTGTGCCTATGTATATGGAAACTGAGAATAAAGCCCAAAATGGAGAGAGAAAATCCTCATAAAGAGTTCTAATGCAAATGGTACCCCATAGTCTGCTTAAAACCTGAGGGAACCCCGTTAAGTGGTGGTATGAAGCCATCCACCTGCTACCCGTGGGAGAAAAGCATCCAGGAGGACATTCTGCCGAGTGTGAAAATGAGTGTGTAACAACTGTTCAAGGGTGTGTGATACTCTTCACTATTATACTCCACAAGGTCAAATTTTGCTTGCTAAACTGACTGAGGAATATTCTCAAGGGAATGGAAGAAACAAAGCGGCCTGTCAATTTGGAGAAATATTTGCGTAACTGTCAGA